TTAGATGTTAGCATTGAAGGTTCCCTGTGATTTTTCATTCCAAAATTAGTATATAGTACGGGAAAATAAAGGGAACATTGAACAGGAGTGGAGAATAACAACTCTCCATCAAGAATTAATATTCGAGCTCTTAGAATTATCAGTGAGCCCGAGCTTAATCATTTGGAGCTTTATATTAGGACGAAACGAATGTTGACTGTCACATGGTTTTCAAATATAGTGCTACATCCTTTACTTAAACACTTGACACTGGTTTAACTGCTTCTCTGTTCGGCGGAAATCTTCCAAACTACAGTCTTATACAGAATTTAAAGGGTGGAAAATATAAAGAAGATGCCTTGTTTCCAATATCATTTTAGGGATAGAAGGCAAGAATATTTATAGGTTTACGTACGGCCTCAATATTTTAGAACTTTCTGGAAATACTAAAAAAATCAGTAATAAAATCGGTAATTTTTCGATCAAGATTTAACATATATCAGAATGGATTTTGTGGAGAGTTTTAGAAATTTCACAGGTTGAAATCATGAGTCGATTAAAGCTAGACCACCATGGAAAACCTGGAAGCACTGGATGGCCGTTTCGTTCTAGTATGGGACTCCTCAGCAGTGCGCATCCGCGATCCTGGGTTCGAGCCCCGCGTGGTGCGGGATCGTTGATGCGCACTGCTGCGGAGTCCCATACTAGAACGAAACGGCCGTCCAGTGCTTCCAGGTTTTCCATGGTGTTCTAGCTTTAATCGACTCATGATTTCAACCTGTGAAATTTAACATATCGTTCATCGTTTTCCTAAGCGTTCTGGAAAGTTTATAACAAACGATGATTTGATGAAGTATTTTCACCCTTAACTCTCGAAAACGTTTTCCAGATACTGTCATGGGCTGCGAACAGGTTGTCTACCTAAAATGAATCCATGATTATCCTTATTATCCTCATTTGATTAGACACAATGGATAGTACCAAAGCAACTAGGTGGTCAACTAACAAAATGATATTCAAATTCATTTGGTATCGTATGTTTTAATCTTCCCATTGATGTTTAGGATTTCAATTGATCAGTTTCTTATTGGTATATATGCATCCTGTGTGTATTGCCTCGATACTGCTTTAGGTCACAAGCATTATAAGCAAAGATGGATGGTGGTTAGTAGTGTAATCAAGGACGCGCGTCTCGGCCCTCTTGGGGCTCGTCAGCTGGAGAGACTGATCAGTCACAGTCCTAAACATCAATGGGAAGATTCAAGCTAACGATACCAAATGAATTTAAACTTCACCCAATTGCGCAAGCAAATGACTATTACAACTCAGTAGCTAAGTGGGTAGCGCGATCACGTTTGAAGCGAATGGTACTGGGTTCGAGCTCTGGAATGAATACTAACTCTAGGATGCAGGTACACCCAGATGACGGCTCCTGAATCGGGCGGAACGTTCGTCCTGGATCCCACTGCCAGCTACCATCTATCTTTGCTAAAAACGATATTCGAATTTTTGTGTTACACAAAAAAGCATTAAATTATATTTTCATAGTTGACACTAGTTATTATTTAACAGTTTACAGAATTGATTTTTCTAGTACTCCTCAATCAATTGAACGCAATTATGATAATAATAACTAAAACACATGACACACTTATCAATTAAACACGCTATCATAATCAGTAAAGATCAACATTTCAATCTCACTCATTTGCCATTTTTAACAAAACATAAAGTGCTTATTAAAGCTTAAACTAATGGTTCATTAGTATATGCACAGATTGCGCTACAGTTTAAATAAAATTGAGCTTTAAAGAGCTGATATGATAGGAAATAATGCTTATTACAGCTAGACAGTGAGTGTGTAGTGAACAGAACACGGCTAGCGACACAAGCTTACAGGACTTGTTAATAAAATCTAACAACCATAAAATAAATGTTTAATTTGCAAAATGTCCATCAATTGTCTCAAAATGATTCAGACTTCATTGTTCTTGCATTTTCATACAAATTGCATCCTGTTTCCATTCTTTACTGTTCGATCCTCTTGTCTCTCTGCTGTCAGACCTTCTGTTCACGACTAGCATCATATACTACTTATGTCAATATAAGTAACACACACCACAAGTGTAGAATCAATGAAGGTCAAAATAATCTTGGATAACTGATTGAATTTAGTTTAAGATTACCAGTCAGAAGTGCTAAACTACCACCTTATACAGTTGGAATATAACATCGTTTTTTAGGTATCATAACGTTCGAGACAGTGAATCTGAATCTAATAGTTTACTTCTTCAAATTCATTCTGTGATATTTTTGAGTAACGAGTTGAATTCAAATTTCTCTAACTCCGCAAATTAGTTTTTTCTCTATTGGAACATCGGAAAACTCATCTTTTAAAGTTAATTAATAGGATAACATAACTGTCCAGTGCATTTTGGTTTACAATAGTTCTTTAATTAAGATCAGTCAGTGATGAAAATCATCATTTAAGATAGACATCTATTGGAAATTGCTTAACAGATAAGAATTTTTCGAAATAAACAACCAATGTTTAATTCTCTGTAGAAACGTTCTAAACATTTTATCCCATTCTTATTAACTGGCTCATCATTTTAAATGATATCCTATAGTTGCGTTCATGAGTTAGTTGAGGCTAAACCACCATGGAAAACCTGGAGGCACTGGACGGCCATTTCGTCTTATTGTGGGACTTATCAGCAGTGCGCATCCAGTGGTTAAGCGCTCGCGCGCGAGACTGATAGGTCCTGGGTTCGAATCTTGCGAGGCGTGGTCATGGATATACACTGTTGAGGAGTCTTACAATAGGACGAAATGGCTGTCCAGTGCTTCCAGGTTTCCCATGGTGGTCTAGGTTTAACTAACTCATGATCTCAACTATTGAAATTACTAATATTTCTCCACAAAACCCCTTCTGATACCCTATAAGTTTATTTAATGGGAATATACAATTCACAATGGACTGATATCTTACAGTAAGTCTAGTCTGGTTCAACATTGATTTACAGTGACAGTTGTAGCTAATTTAGTGATGATGAATCTGTTAAAAACAGGTACTCCTATCAATTGCCATTCTCATACACAAAATATTTTATTTGTTATCCAGTTATTTACATCAAAATGCATTAACCTAATGTATGTGTTCATTAGATTGGTAACTAATTTCTGCGCCAATTATTTTAGTACTAACCTGAATAGTAGTGAAGGTTAGCCAATAGTAGATCAGTTAGTTAGTTATCACTAACACTGAGTTTGGTATAAACGTAAGGCCAGGTTGCCATATGATTTTGAAATGAACAGTAAAGAAGTCGAAATAATTTCAGTGAAAATTATAATGAAGAGGACCAAATATTGAGAAAATTGTTCAAGGTATGAAGATAAAAATTAGAGACCTAGAGGGAGATAATAGGTGAATGCCATTGTACACAAACCTTAATGATGCCGTCAAAAGTTTCCAACCTTCGTTTGCGTTTACTATTTACGTGGACCACAAACAGGTAGTCTGCACTTATCAAAACGGTCCACTCCAATAGTCATTGACTTCATGGATTGACGTCACATCTTGGTTTAGTTATTCTTGGTTTTTATCTGAACTCCTACACCACTAAACATCATTACTCGAGGTTGAAATTAGTTAAGCATACGTTGCGTATATTAACGCCACTTCAGTTGATGTACATTTATAATATTATCAGCTGGTTCGCTCTCTTTCCTTAGTATGCTGCGTCTAACCTTGATATTACCCACTCGACTGTTCCACGATACATGAATGGTACTTTGAAGACACTTATAATAAAAACTCTAGCCTTTCCAGCCATTGAATGATTCAATGTGAACTACAGGATCCTTATGGTTGTACTAGTTCTGATTTGAAAAGTCTATAAAATTCATATAATTAACCTTTCATAACTTTAATGACATTTAAATTTAACAAATAATGATTAAGTGGTCGTAAGTAATTAAAATGTTTCCTAGTTAAATGTAACAACAATAAATAATTAGCAAATATATATAAATTGTATCAGATCGTTTACAATGGTTCATCTACAGATTTATGCCTACAAACAAATTTTCATGTACCAAACGACTATAAGACTGGGAATATAAGGAATATACATTTTTTGTCAAATTATGGATCTAGGTAACTATAAGATTATCCCTCGTATTTTAACAGAAGATAAATAATCAAAATACGTAAGACATAACAATTTAGTACGAGCATATTTTAAGACAGTGTTGCAAGAAATTTTCATTGTAACTATAGAACGTTTGATATCACGAGCTAATCTCAATTAGGAAACAAAAGAAAACCAACGAACACTGGACAACTCTTTCGTCATATTATGGGAATTCCTTGTGGCCACTAAAATTCCACCCAATTGTTTTTACATCTAACTTCAATCACTCCAGAATACTGTGTGGTAGGTAAATGCCTCATACTTGGCATGTTTGAGCTCAAATTGTCATGGTTTTTCACTAGGAAGATTAAGTACTTACAACGAGACAGAAGGTCTTGGGTTTAACCCTCAATCAGATCACGGATGCTCAATTCTTAGGGGTCCTACACTAAAATGGAACAGCTGTTTAGTGCATCCTAGTTTTCAATGGTTACTTGAATAAGGTCAATCCATGGTGTAAACGATGGAAATTCAACAGTCTCCACAAATCTCCTTATCCAAACAAAAAAAGCACTCAGTTACATTGAACAATCAATTCGTTTGTTGATACATGATTATGTAATACTTAAAATAAAGTAATTAACAAGAGAATTAAAGGTAACTATTTTTATAGGTTTGCCTCCAGAAATTAAAGTGATGAGATATTAACGAGGTATTTCCATTTGGACCAACTTTTACACATCAGAGGTATCGAATGTGTATTTAAGCTGAACCATAAATTACAAATGCTGATTTTCATTAATTATAAATTAAATTCATATTGAAATATAAAATAATTAAATTGAAATATGACAAAGTTTTGTAAAGAAACAAACAAAAACTCACTTGAGTTGACAACTAAAAATGGTTTCCTTTTCGTATCTCTTATCAGTTATTGTTATCAATAATTAAATAATGAAACTTTCAAGGTCACTGTTAATTAACGCCATATTCTGATTGGTTAATCAAGTCATGAGATTAAATGATAGTTGAATAATGACGGTTTGAAAACATGATGTACAGTATCTATCTATCTATCTATCTATCTATCTATCTATCTATCTATCTATCTATCTATCTATCTATCTATCTATCTATCTATCTATCTATCTATCTATCTATCTATCTATCTATCTATCTATCTATCTATCTATCTATCTATCTATCTATCTATCTATCTATCTATCTATCTATCTATCTATCTATCTATCTATCTATCTATCTATCTATCTATCTATCTATCTATCTATCTATCTATCTATCTATCTATCTATCTATCTATCTATCTATCTATCTATCTATCTATCTATCTATCTATCTATCTATCTATCTATCTATCTATCTATCTATCTATCTATCTATCTATCTATCTATCTATCTATCTATCTATCTATCTATCTATCTATCTATCTATCTATCTATCTATCTATCTATCTATCTATCTATCTATCTATCTATCTATCTATCTATCTATCTATCTATCTATCTATCTATCTATCTATCTATCTATCTATCTATCTATCTATCTATCTATCTATCTATCTATCTATCTATCTATCTATCTATCTATCTATCTATCTATCTATCTATCTATCTATCTATCTATCTATCTATCTATCTATCTATCTATCTATCTATCTATCTATCTATCTATCTATCTATCTATCTATCTATCTATCTATCTATCTATCTATCTATCTATCTATCTATCTATCTATCTTATCTATCTATCTATCTATCTATCTATCTATCTATCTATCTATCTATCTATCTATCTATCTATCTATCTATCTATCTATCTATCTATCTATCTTTCTTTCTTTCTTTCTTTCTTTCTTTCTTTCTTTTTACAGTTTTCAAATTTTCTGATGTTTATTACTATTTATGATAAGGGTTAAATCCAAACAGACTATACATTTAATCTTCATGTTACTATCGATACAAATAAATAATCAGTTGAAAATGACATGGGATTATAATATAGAGTTGAGTCAATCTGAATCAAGAACATGATTCGGATTCCTGTGTGAAATCCACAACAAATTAGATCGCATAAACATTTGAATAAGAACAACTGTTTATTTTTCAGAGTGTTTAGAATTATTAGATAACGTTTTATTGATCATTGAGTAAAATTGACATGGTGAAACATACTATATCTTTACTTCTTTTTATGTAAATCGCACGTAATCTACAAATCAATGAGTCTTTATTTCAATTTACTTGATACATATAATACATTCTTGAAGAAATCAGTTTATCTGTTATTCATCAAATACAAATCAAACTGGTGAAGTAGGAATGTTAAAACAGATTTGAGTAAGCATCAAGAGAATTCAGCAAAGATTTTCTTTTCGACGGCATCATTGACTTAAGCTGTACATCCTTATTTATAGTTATGTGTCTATACATATGTCTATAGAAGGATAGAAAAGATTGCAACATAAAGTGATTCAGGACTCTAAATATTAAGTGAGGTTGTGTAATAATCAAGGGCTAAGAGAAGAATATAAGGATGGAAATAATTTACAGTTCTGAATTATAAGAGGTAATTGTCCAAGTGACAAATCAATATTTCCACATATAGCTTCTTCATACCGTTGTCTTATAATTCTGTTACACTAACTCTTAGGTGATTCTGTCAATGGAGAGTTTGTAAACGAGGATAAGGTTCTACATAACTATTTATGAATACAAGAAAAACACCAAGGACGGTACTATTTCGTGTGAATATATTCACATTTAGATAAATAAAGTTAAACAGAGACATTTCTACAATATTAAGATGGAGAAACTAATATCGTACTTTGAATAACTGATTAACTTTATACGACCAAAATACGCTTACATGTCCCTCATTACTCATGTTATAAAATATTTTTGATTTGCACAAGATTTCAGTTGATTATTTGAATGGTATCTTTAAAATCATAAGGTCAATTCAATACTAATACTTATCATGGGTTCACTAGTGACTAGCTTCGTGAGGGAATTCTCGAAGTTCTAGTGAGAAGCCGTGAACAGTGGAGCTAATCCATGTCAAGAACAGACAGGTATATACCTCAGTAAAATGCTAGGCGGTTGCGTGATTTCGTGAGTTGGTTGAGGTTAGACCTTAACACCGTTGAATGCCAACTTACTGGTCTAGAGAATAAGTGTTCGCACGCGAAATCGATACGTCTTGGGTTCGATTCCCAGGTGTGGGGTTGTGGATACGCACCTACTGTCCAGTACTTTTAGGTTTTCACTGGTGGTCTAACATCAATCGGTTCATGATCTCAATTAAAAACTTTATAATCTTCTTAACCTCATACTGATCAAAGTTTACTGTTGATTCATTCGTATTTTATAGTTAAACGGAAAGTGAGTTACTCAAGATATCTGTTCCAATTTTAGACAATAACTCCGCCTGGAGTCCCTCCGGGGGCCACTGCCGGTCCCAAGCCTGGATAAAGGAGGAGGGTTGGGCTTGGGGTTAGCGACCCCATCCCGTAGAAAACTAAATCGCTAAAAAAACGCTAACCAGAAAAAATTATTCAAACCGTCTAAACTCTGCCCCAGGAGTCAGAAGGTCTTCATTTAGAAGAACTATGACGCCTAATGATGAAAGCCGAATTCCTTCGGAAGTTACGAGGCCGATGCCTCTTCTGACAACCAGACCAACCATTTATTTAGGTACATGGAATGTTCGTACAATGTGGGACACCGGGAGTGACTTTCGAATCGCTGCAGAAATGAGGAGTTACAACCTAGAGGTGCTTGGGATCAGTGAAACACACTGGACGCAAGTTGGACAACAACGACTAAATTCAGGAGAGCTCCTGTTATACTCCGGCCATGAAGAAGAAAATACTCCACACACACAAGGAGTTGCATTGATGCTGTCCAAACAAGCACAAAATGCACTGATAGGATGGGAATCTCATGGACCAAGGACCATCAAAGCCTCCTTCAAAACAAAGAAAGAGGGCATTTCAATGAACATCATCCAATGCTATGCGCCTACCAACGACTACAATGAAGACGCTAAAGATCAATTCTACGATAGGCTGCAGTCAATAATCGAGAAGTGCCCAACAAAGGATCTCACCATTCTGATGGGAGATTTCAATGCCAAGGTTGGAACGGACAACACTGGATATGAAGACATCATGGGACGACACGGACTGGGAGAAAGAAACGAAAATGGTGAGAGATTTGCAAACCTATGTGCCTTCAATAAACTGGTCATAAGCGGCACCATATTCCCACATAAGCGCATTCACAAAGTCACATGGACTTCACCGGATCACACCACGCAAAACCAAATCGACCATCTCTGCATCAACAAAACGTTCAGGAGGACTATGGAGGACGTGAGAACCAAGAGAGGAGCTGATACAGCATCAGACCATCACTTGCTGGTCGCCAAGGTGAAAGAGAAACTCAGGAAGCACTGGACAATGGGGCGGACAATATCACAAATGTTCAATACGGCCTTTCTTTAGAATACTAACAAACTCAACAAATTCAAGATAGTCCTCAGCAACAAGTTCCAGGCTTTTCATGATCTACTCAATGGAGAAGGAACTACTATGGAGAGCAACTGGAAGGAGATCAAAGAGGCAATCACTTCAACATGTCATGAGGTCCTGGGCCACAAGAAACACCATCACAAGGAATGGATCACTGTTGATACACTGGACAAGATTCAAGAAAGGAGGAACAAGAAAGCAGCAATCAACACCAATCGAACAAGAGCAGAAAAAGCCAAGGCACAAGCTGAATACACAGAAGTAAACAAACAAGTGAAGAGGAGCATCAGAACCGACAAACGTAAATATGTGGAAGATATAGCAACGACGGTGGAAAAGGCTGCAAGAGGAGGAAACATGAGACAACTGTATGACACGACAAAGAAACTCTATGGAAATCGCCGCAAACCAGAACGACCAGTGAAAAGCAAGGAAGGCAAGGTAATCATCAACATTGAAGAACAACAAAACAGATGGGTAGAACACTTCAAAGAACTGTTGAATCGACTAGCTCCACTGAACCCACCCAACATCGAAGCAGCACCCACGGACCTCCCAATCAATGTTGGCCCAACAATAATTGAAGAGATAAGCATGGCCATCAGACAAATCCAGAGTGGCAAAGCAGCAGGACCAGACAACATTCCAGCAGAGACACTAAAAGCAGACGTAGCGGTAACTGCAAGGATACTCCACATTCTCTTCAATAAGACTTGGGATGAGGAACAAGTACCAACAGACTGGAAAGAAGGACTTCTGATCAAAATACCAAAGAAAGGAGATCTCAGCAACTGTGATAACTCCAGGGGCATCACTCTTCTCTCAATACCGGGAAAAATCTTCAACAGGGTATTGTTAAACAGAATGAAGGACTGCGTAGACGCCCAACTTCGTGACCAACAGGCAGGATTCCGTAAGGATAGATCGTGTACAGACCAAATCGCAACTCTACGGATCATTGTGGAACAATCAATTGAATGGAATTCATCACTCTACATCAACTTCATTGACTACGAAAAGGCATTTGATAGCGTGGACAGAACAACACTATGGAAACTTCTTCGACACTACGGCGTGCCTGAGAAGATAGTCAATATCATACAGAACTCATATGATGGATTACACTGCAAAATCGTGCATGGAGGACAGTTGACAAAGTCGTTCGAAGTGAAGACCGGTGTTAGGCAAGGTTGCTTACTCTCACCATTTCTCTTTCTCCTGGTGGTCGACTGGATCATGAAGACGTCAACATCTGAAGGGAAACACGGGATACAACGGACATCTAGGATGCAGTTGGACGATCTAGACTTCGCTGATGATCTGGCCCTTCTATCCCAAACGCAACAACAAATGCAGGAGAAGACGACCAGTGTAGCAGCAGCCTCAGCAACAGTAGGTCTCAATATACACAAAGGGAAAAGCAAGATTCTCC